CGGACTTATAAACGCAATTAAACTACAATAACAAAGTCACAAATTAAATTGACAAACAATTTTTAGTAATTTAATGCTCAATCAGACATTTGATTGATGTATATTAGAAAGATGTTAATGTACTGAAAAATTGTAAATGAATTTATAATTTATTTGTCTGAGATAATTGCTTTAGAAAGAGAAAAAAATTAATTAAAAAACCTTTTAATAAAAATTGTCAACTAATTTTTATTTACTTTGTGATATAAATTTTATAAATAATTTAAAGCATATAACTGTGAATGATATAACTGTGAAAATAAATTATACTAAACAAATTAATTACTATCTAAATTTTAAAAGCGTTTTGAATCTATTGCTTTCAAATTATACCTATTATTTCGAACCGCATTTATAAATCAATGTTTTATTTAATAAAACGGATTAATAATGCAACAGTACAAACATTGTACGCAAGAAGAAAAAAATCATCTTTTAAATTCGAAAAATATACTTTAATTTGAAAACTTGTGTACGTAGAATTATAACTGCAACTAAATTATTACAAGTGGATCGGTGCTATTAGATGTTAAACGAATTTAAACCCTGTAACAACGTTTATCAATATTTTAATAAAGATTTATGTCACAATACGACATTTCTCAAACATTTCTTCACTGCGTGTTGTATTTAGTATTACACGATCTGAGATACCGTGTGGACAAAATGTCGGATTGGATATCATCATGGAGCTATTATACTACAACACGTGATGGTAAAATAAAGTGTGAAATATGCGGTTTTAAAGCTTGTGACGAAACCGTAACGGCGAAAGCACATTCACTTCATGATCAAAAAATTATCGAAAACAAAATTAACGATGATAACCAAAGCAACTTGTTACTGCAATATTTTGCAAAAAAAGAAAAATATTCTTCTAAATGTAAGATTTGTATTTCAATTGTGCTTTCATGTAATAACTTTTTGTGACTTCATCATTTTTCACACTTTTAATTTTGATTAAAGAATTTCTCAATTATATTAAATGATTGAATTTTTATTTATCTAGAAAAACCGATGAAGTCAATTTGCTTCTTCGCAACATTCAATCTGCTATAATATTTTTGCTCTAATATTGTATTCGTATACAATTTTGTGATTTGTATACAAATTTTTACATATTTATGACTTAAAATGTTCAATAATGTGATATTATTGTTAAATATAATTATCTATACGTGTCATTATCTTCTATTTGTTATTTACGAAAAAAATATGCCCAGCATCAAATTGGCTTCTGCAATCCTTCTAGAAGGATCATCAAATTCGATCTTTCTAGTTTTGAACTACGTTTTGATCTACGTGATACGGTAGAGCAGCTTAACTGCTCTCTTATAGCATAAATGATAAAACTATGTATACTGTAAAAAATAATATAATTATATCAAATAAATCCTTCAGTAATCGAAGGAAATAATGTGGCTTCAACTTCTCATTAGACTGATACACAGACAGAAAATCCGAAAGATGACGATGGTAAATATTAGGATTATTTGTGTATCTTATTTTCCTTTACTTCTTCACGCTTATAACGAATTTAGACATTTACTTACTGTAAAATTTGTCATGGAAATTATGGAATGTTTAATCAGTAATAACATTATGTTCCTTTTAATCAATAATTAAATTTCATAATTTTTTTAATCTACGATGAGAGTCGGATAATTGATACTTTTTTCATATATTTCAACACTCATGATTAATAGAACTTTTGATATTCAACTTATTAATCAGGCATTTTCAATTTTAAGTTGTATTTGAACTTAGAC